GACTCTTTACAAGGGCCTGGAGTGACAGGACAAGGGGGAATGGCTTCCAACTGCCAGAGGGCAGGGCTAGTCGGGCTGTTAGGATGAAATTTTTCCCTCTGAGGGTGGCACAGGATGCCCAGAGAAGCTGTGATTGCCCCATCTCTGGAAGTGTCCCAGACCAGCTTGAATGGGGTTTGGAGCAACCTGGGATGGTGTAAGGTGTCCTTGCCCATGTAGGTGATGGAACGAGATGAGCTTTTGAGGTCCCATCCAACCCAAACCATTCTGTCTCAAGGGAAGTTTGGATGGTCTTACTTGGTGTCCCTAAACCTGTTGGAGGAAAGGGATTGCATATAAATTGAAGGATATGAATTTGGTAACCAGAACATTATTTTTCTGGGTTTTAACTTGTAGAATTTTTCAGAGGTGGTGCTAAGGGGGCCAAAAGAATAGAGGTGTTGAGAATGGCCACAGATAGAACATCATCCTTTTATTAAAAAGAGTATTCAGGGTATTTACTCTTTGGAGCTAGCACCCTTTGGAACTAGTCTTTTGTAACGATTTTCCCTGTGAGCAAACAGCTCAGTGTCTTTCCTTCATTGGTCTTTTAACATAGCTGATATTGGATGATGTGAGGAGCAGCTTATGGCCACAGTGGTGACTTCCCCTCTGCTCTGGCTGCTTTTTTGTCTGACAGGACTTTTTTTTTTTGTTTATTTGTTTTTTGAGTTTTTTTTTTTTAAACAAACCTGTTAGGCGTCAGAGCACTTAACTATAATTATTTCATGAAGTGAGAGGAGGTGCTGTCAGTCCTGTCCAGGGTCTACCTTTGCTGCATTCATGGGCCACAACTCTCAAGACATGTTTTTAGGTGTCCTTTTTGTAAGAATTACTGACTCTGGAGAGTGTATTGTGCAGAGAGATACAATTTTATATAAAACCTTCATCCGATTGCTAGGCAAATCTCTGCTGGAAGTGCTCTGCGCCTCTTACCTCATGCAGGTGTCTGCTCCACAGTCTCATTAGAGCATTGCTTCCTTGCTGAAATATCCTGCTGTCATAGCTACATCACATACAGATATTTATAGAGTGTAGTGACATTGCCTCTGATCTTTTCTTGGATAACTCTGCTCAGGGTGGCAGTTGAGCTCAGGGCCTTGCCACCTGGCTCTTCTGGCTGGAAACCACTGCCAATCTCGTCCCTCTTGCTTTGCACATAATATCAAATGAAGGAGCAAGATCTGTTGCTATAATAAAGTGTGCCGGAAACTGAGGAGCACTTGGTTCCTAAAAAGCAGGTTTACTTCGGTCGAGGTCCTTCTTTAGCAGCTGGGCAGCTGTAACGTCCAATGGGACTTCGCTTTTGGCGAGGAGTGGTGTAACCCCCTGCTCAGATGCCAGCTGAAGCACCTGAGAGCACTCAGTCAGTTTGATCTGTGGGATAGAAGTGTCCCAAACTCTGGAAGGAGGGACAGCCAGTACCCACTGGAAAGGCAAAGCTAAAGGCATCAATGACTCATCTCCACACCCTGTGACCCATAGGACAGAGGCATCTATTTCCCATTGCTGTAGTGACTTGCACAGGGGTGCCTGGTTTGTGTCGGGCTCCTCGGTAGTTGTGCACTCTGAATAACAGTCCTCAAGAATTCCAGAGGGAGATTTTTTTTTGGCTCCCTTTCTGTAGCTTCCTGTCCATATGTCCGTATCCCCTAGAAAGCCAAGTGAAACTGAATGTGTAGGCTGATGAGCTGATGCCCTTCAAGGCCACTTAAGAAACAGAGTATATCAGATGTGAACACTGTGCTTTTCTCAGGAAACATCATAAGAGGAGATGCTTCCCAGGCCAGGGATACCGTTGTGTGCAGGGGAGAGTGTGGTCATCTCCAAACAAGGCACCTCTCATGCCCCAGCAGAGGCAGTTGCCAGGAGATGGAATTAAAATCTGCTCTACCCTTGCTCTCTTTTGATGAGGGGAGGAAAATCTTGAGTGAATGAGGTTCTTATCTCACACTGACTCAGTCTCACACTTCACAGCATCACCTGGTCCAAGAAGAGGATGGTGGAAGGGCTGTTACAGGAAATTCTATTTTCATTTTTTACTTTGTGTCATGAGCTGCCAGGAGGATGTCACATTTCCTGGGCATCTCATTGTCCAATATTTACTTGGCCTTTATTTTTTTCCATTTCTCATTCCTTGGTATGTTTCTAAGTTTAATTTGGACCATAGAGGTAGCAATAATTCAGAGATAAAATACACAAATCTGATCCATCTACAGAGGCTGATACAGGAATGTGTAACTTACTTTGTTGTTTTCTACCTTCTCTGTTAATGAAATCTAGCCTGAATTGTTACACTCAAGTCTGTGTTCATCTCAACAAAAAGTAAATTACTTGCAGAAAAAATTGCCACATTTCTGCATCTCTGATATTGATTGGGTCTGTGACCTTGACAAGCAAAGACTCAATACATCTGTTTTCCAGTCTGTGAAATAACAGTGTGTCTCGTACAGCAAGACAGCACTCAGAGCTGCTTTATTACGGGCCTGCTGATAGTTCCTGCCATGGTATATGAACAGCAGCACACTGGTTCTGTGTGTGCAGGGAGTGCTTGATAAGGAGTGGGACACATGGCAGGAAAGCAGCTGTGAGCACAACCATGCATACATGAAAGCCTCAGTATTTGCCTTTAAATGTTGAAAAGGGTTCACCACTGACAGCTGAGGTGGGATTCTGAGTGGCTTGTATTTGTCTCAAGTAGTATTAACCTTGAAGGCAGGCAAGTTCATAGGAAACCTTGTACTTGTAAGTCTGCATGTTCAAAACACGCCCAGTAATACCACAGATCATAGAGCCAGGAGGGGGAATATCTGTAGGAAAGTGCCAGTCCCTCTGTCCAGCTCCTGGGATAGACAGGCTGCCCAGCTCTCCATGGGCTTCCCCAGGAGCTTTGGTGCAATGCTGATTCCCTCAAAACATGACTTGGAAGTATCAGCTTTGCTGTCATGGACACGTTTTGCTGTTTTTTTCCTTCACTGGATGGGTTGTGTGGGTCAATTTTCATGCTGTGGAAGAGCACTGAAAAATACTGATCACTGCTGCAGCTCAAGCAGCTTGAGTTCAGATGCTTGTCCATATGAGGATGGAGCCACTGTCAAGCCTATCTCAGGGTGTCCTGAGCTCTTGTTCACTTCCATGTGAGAAATGAACCGGAAAGAGATTTCTTTATCTCAGTGATAAGAAATACTGAAAGAGAGTAATTTCATGGATGATTGCATGAGAGGGTTAAAAAAGGTGCCAGACTGAAAATCTATGTTTTCCAAGCAGTTAACTTTTTAGTGCCAGTGGATGCCAGCACAGACCATCAACCTGAGTGGTTAAAAAAAATTAGTGGTGTTGACAGTTCTGCCTCCTGCCCTTGCAACACTGAAATTTGGCAAGTGCGTGAAAAATGAGGAAGGCTCTCTTCACTTACAAAGAAAATCATGAGTAGTTGAAGTACTAAAGCCTTTAAGAGGATGATAAATGGCCAAAGGTGTTTGGAAGCATATTATAAAATGAAGTTTAACAAAGAATTGAGACTGGTAGAAGGGATGTGTTGGACAGGTCTAATGCTATGGTCCAGTGCTTAAGAACAGTTCTGTATTTTCAGAACTAGCTGATAAAAAGCTGAGCTTCTCTTCATCAATAGGAGGTGCCTGAGGAGACTTCATCCCAGTGGTGCTGGACATGCCTGGAGCAGACCTTTCTGAAGTCCACTTCTCCAATAGGAGAGGTTATACTTGAGGCCTTGATTCACTACTTTCGATGTGTTCCTCAGGATAACATAAGCATTTGCCTTTATCCAGTAAATGTAATGGCCCTGAGCTTGCTCAGGGGAGACACGTCCACTGCTGATGCTGCATCTCATTACCAGAGCCTTGTGTTGTGTGTTGCCACTAAGTCCCTGTGGAGCACAGACAACCCAGTCCCAGAGAGGATCAGAGCAAGCACACTGAAGCATCTAGTGTCCTGCTCAGGAGCCCCATGTTTCCAGCAGGGTAGATTGAGTTCTGATGTAGCTGTGCTGTCACAGCTCTACATGGAAATTCTGGAACATAATTGAAATGAAGCACCAGCTGCCTGCGTGCAGGGCTGTGCTGGATGCAGGATCCACAATTTGATCATTGCTCTCTAGGGTTTAAATCTCTAGTCTGAAAAGCAAATTTAGCATATTGAGGTTAAACTTCAATTAATACATGATGGCCTTTTTCTTCTGATAATATCAAGAGACCCTCAAGAGATCCTCAGTTCAGTGTTCAGCACTGTCTCAGGATGTGCAGTGAATAAAGCCCATGTTGTCTTAATACTGGGGATTAAAAAAAAAAAAAAAAAGCAGTGTCAGTGCTTACTGTTTGATCACATCCATGAGCACAATGGGTTCATGGCATAAGCAGTCTTTGTTCTGACTCTTGCAATTTTCTTTATGTCCAAGCCAAGATACATCCCTGTTTATTTTATGCAAGAAATCATGATTAAAACCACACTACTGCCTACACTAGCATTCTAGCTAGCAAGGATTTTGGGAACTTCCCTTTAAGAAGGTCTTTATTATTTCTGGAGGGTAAAAAGATGCTTTTCCTTTGCAGTGGTAAGCAAAATGTTTTGAGACAAGTTAAACCCACGAGTTACATTTCCAGACAGATGGAGGTGCCTGGGGGCAGCCTAGAGCACAGGGATACAGCTGCCCCTGGGATCACTTGGGGTGGATGTGCTTGGGAGGAGTGTGGGAGGAGGAACCTGGATCCCCAGGGGGTCAGGACAGGGTGAGAGCAGCACCAGGTGTGATTTGAGCTCTAGACGCTCTGAGGGTGTCTGTGAGTGTTGAGGACAAAGTGAGGTGCTGCTCAGTAAGGCAGATAACACAGAGCTGTGCCTGGCACTGCCAGAAAGGACATGGAGCTCACACGGATGTTGCAAGGGGAGGAAAGACACAGCTCCTCTGTCTGGCTTCTCCCATGGACCAGCACAGCAGATGAAAGATGGATCAGGTGAGTGAGTGATCCTCAGTCTGTTACTGTGAACATTTGATTTTCCCAGCTGGATCACTCCCAACCTGCACATCCTTTGGCTGCATGACTAGCAATTGGCACTGGGAATGGAGCAGAATTCTGTGGCTGGGGGTGGAGAGGGTGAAGCTGTTGCCAAAAGGCCTAGTGCCACCCATGTTTGTTGGGTTAAAGCTGCTCCTGAGCAGCAGTCCAAAACTTCTGCTGTCTTTGCTCTCCGTGAAGAAGAGTCAGTGAGCCCTTCAGGTTTTTCTTCTCAAAGAAAATATGCAATTATTTGTGTGAAGTGTCAGGACTTCAAGCTGAGCTACTTTTTTCCTTAGTGTTCACATGGAGGTTCTGCCTCCACAGGTGGAATGTACAGTTGGCAGGAGCAGTTTTCAGAGTCTCTCTGTGGTCATTTTTAGGGCAAGACTTGGAGTCCTGCTGGCTTCCACATGACTGGGACTCACCCATTTGGGTAGGAGACCTGAAGAGGTGCACTTTCAGGTGGCCCTCCATGTGATTCTTTCTGCTGTCTTCTGTAGCATCATCCTAGAGCACTGGAGTTTGGTGGTTCACTGGTCTTCAGAACAGAGGCTGAGAAGGTTTGATCTCTCTGCATGTAGGGATGTGGCAGTCTGGCTTGGTACATCCCAGAGGGGATGCCCACGCTGGGGTCATTTCCAAGGCTATATGGTGAGGTTGTTGCATAGGTGTAACATGTACCTCAGTGCAATTAAATCACTGAGCTTGCATGCTGCTGAGTAGCTTGTCCCTGTCTAAAAATTTTAGACTTTTGATTGCCATGTGAGTGAGCTCAAGGCTTGAGGAACTGTTCCTGACTGCTGCAGGTCAGGCACAGAGGTTGTTTCCTACAGCCTGCAAGGGGCTGCTGCCACAGTCCGGCAATGTGGCCCTTTGACTAGGACATGAGTCCCTGAAGACACTCCTTTGGGAGAGCTGGTGGCCACTGGTAAGTAGCTCATCAAGATGTCTTGTGCAGGACTTGGTGTTTGATTTTGTTCCCTGAATTGGTTAATGCTACTACATGCTCCCACAGAGAAAACGAAACATGTAGATTCTTCTAAAGTCTACTTCTGTTATGTTATTTTAATGTTTTGCCAGACTTTAGTGATTTGATTGGCAAGCTGGAAAGCAATGTGATCAGAGTTTTCAGCTTCTCCCAGGAGCTGTGCTTGGAAGCACAGAGGGCACGCAGCTCAGGCCACCTGCTTGCCAGCAGAGAATTGGGTTGGTCTCGTCCATACTCCCGCCTGCGTTTAACCGGACGTCTCCTGTGGTGGAGTTGCCTGCTTTAAGCACAATGCTGCAGATGGTGCATGGAAGGCTCAAGGTGCTGCTTCTTGGAAACCTACTTGTATAAATGTCCTGACATTGATTCCCTGTGGTTAACGACCATTTCATTTTTACAGCCTTTGATTTCAATTGACAATGTGGCTTGCTTGTCCTGGCAGGCAGCCTAAGGCAGCTGTACCTTCTTTTAATAGGAACTCTGACCTCTGCAAAATGACTCATCATTAATATGTCTCTGTAACAATTTGTTTATTTCAGCTCCTTTCCGTGCTTCTCTCTCTAATGTTTTTTATGCCATTTTTTGCTTAGCTTATCAAGCAGCAGATTCTCTCCCTCCAATTTAGGAAGGTAAAACTACATTGCATTAAACTGCTCTGACCAAACATTTTCTTGAATCTGTCTGCATGTGATTAATGTGTAGTGCTTTGGTACTAATTAATTAATCAGTCGAGAGCCCTGAAGTGATCTAACAGCCTCATTCTGCATGATTTGATCCCTAATACTTGCTTGAACTGCAGGAAGAAAAGTGAATGCTCATCATAATACCTCTATTAAGGAGCAAGAAATATTCCTTTCTTAGCCGAAGGATGGGTGTTCAGCTACTTCTTTATATTAAAGTGAGACTTCCATACAGAGACATTAAAAATTAGATGTGACTGCCTTGAGACATCCAGAGAAAAAAATTTCTTCCCCCTGCGATTGTTGTGAGGATCCTTATTCACTTGGACTCTGCCCCAAAATGCACCTGTACAGTTGTACTTTGCCTTTGGCAAAAGAACACATTTGGAAATCAGTCGGCATTTCTGGTTTACTGGAGTGGCAGGTAGAAGAATGGTACTGTGGAGGGAAAGGCCTCTCCAGAACACTTCTATAAATCTGGGATTTCTAACCGAAAAGTCAGAAAATCATGACAAGAGGAACATACTCCTGAAATCTCCTTTTCCAGCAGGCTTTTGTATGGAAATCCCTCTTTAATTGAAAAGGCTACTGAATTGCCAGAGGTCTCTTCTAGGCTCCAGGGCTTTTTCTGCCCCAAAGATGCAGCTTCAGGAGGGCCCAAATAAAAAGTGGTTAGTGTTTTGTGTCCAGTTCCTCGAATACTCTGAATTACTGGTTTAGAAAGCAATTTGAATTGGACAAGCCTCCTTGCAGCTGGAGTGAGTCAGCTGAGAGCCCCACAGTGCCAGAGCCTTCAAATCCTGCTGTGACCAACACAATGGTTTCTTTGAAAGACTCAATAGACCTTCCAGGCTTCCTGCCAATTGTCATTGGGCAAGTTTCTGATTCATCTGCCAAGCCTGTGGAGCCCCCAGCTTCCGACTGCAGCTGCTTTCCAAAGCCATTCAGTAGCCTTTGCTGTATGTGTTTCACCTTGTTGTGGGATTTGCACTGAGTGGACCAGACTTATTCCTGGTGCTGCCTGCTGGTGCCGGTGCCACGGTGCTGGGACTAAACTGGGTCCCAAGATCCATTATGTGTGTGTGCATCACTTGATGATAAGATGCTGATCCGGTTGCTCTCCTGCTGGGGTATGAAATGTTGGTTGTTGCTTGGGAAATTCCTTTATATGGATCTGAAAGGCATTTACTGGTATGGGGTGGGGGATCTGTATTGAAGGGATTATCAAAACCCTACCAGTAACTGCCTTGTACTGGATTGTCTGCCTTGCTCTGTGGAAATGGGCATTTTTTCCCTGGGATTGGAATTTGGAAAGGTTGCTCTGGTTTGAAATGGCTTTTAACTCCCACAGCCCTTTCCTGGCCCCACAGCTGAGTGAAGAGTTGCTTGCCAGGGCCAGTGTCCTATTAACCATTGATTTCCACAGAAAAGAGTCTGAGCTGTGGAATCTGTTATTTTTATCCCATCCCACACATGTTTAGAAAGTGACCATGCTTATAAACCTCATTCAGTAGGTGAATCAGGTTTGCATCATCCTATCCTGACCCTCATCCAACACAGGGTACCTGGGAGCTGGGTGAGGTTCCTGCTGCATCCCTGTGGGTTGTTACTCAGGGATTCATCTCCCTGCATCTCTTACTAACCCATTCTAGCAGGAAGGCAGAGGGAAAGTAATGACACTGCAGCCTCCAGGTAAGTTTTCAGAGTGGATGAAACAGGCAGTTGCTGTGGCTGTAGCTCTCCTGATACCTTCAACCATATGTGCTTAGTCCCTGTCAGTGCACCTGTCCTTGCTGGGTCATGTAAATGTGGGGTTTTTTGGTTTGCCCTGAACCAGCTTGCTTCCTTAGCAGGTAGAGCACTAGTGGCAGCAGCACCAGCACCAGCATCCTGCCTGTGAGGTGGTGCTGCTTGTGAGGCTGGGGTCCTCCTCATGGAGCCCTCACCACACACTCTGAATCCTTCTGCAAATGGTGAAGCTGTGTCACGAGTGGTTTGGGCATTTGTTCCACCCCTTGCATTTTTCTGGAAGCTGATCAGTTGTTTAAGGAATGTCTTTCACTGCTGAAAATGATATAAATAGAGCTGTCAACTACCGGTTCTCATGCAGTATTAGCTGTTTCTCCCAATGTCTTTTCACTTGAGACCTTGGGGTCCCCTCTCCTATAATAAATGTGTAGAGTTTTATTTGCAGACGGAAAAATGAAATCAGAAGCTCTTCCCTTCCAAGAGCCTCAGCATTATCTGAATTAAAACCCGATTTGGAATTAAATAATTTCCCTTTATTTAAGAAAGCTCAGATTTTCTGGGACCTCTCTCAGTGATCTCGCAGCAGGGTTGGCAGTGCTGGATGAATATGGTGATTTATTGCACTCGTTGAACAGTGCTGAAGTACCTGGAGAATCCATGGTCTGCTTTTGAGCATTATAGATTGCACTGTTAGGATTGTTCTGGCTATTTCAGAGTCCCAGCACAAACATCGAGGTTAGAGCCTGAACTGGAGCAGGAAGTGTGGGTGCCTACCTGCAACAGTAAGGGGTTAAACAGGGAATTCCTTCCCAGCTAATTTCCTGGCTTCAGAAAGCTGCTAGCCAGACTCAAGTCTTCTTCAGTAAGCTGTCCCACAACTGGCAGCTTATCTTCATTCTAAGAGGGCTGCTGTGTTCAGGAGACATGTTCAATTCACACTTGGCCTGAAATGACAGAAATTCTTCACAATTAAAAGTAAATCTCAGTGAACAGAATAACTTTAGAAACATTAATGGTTCAGAACTGGGAATTGACTTTGTTAGGCGGCGCTCTAAGCTTGCTGGCTGGCCAGAGAAATGTTTTATTATAATCAAGAGCTAAAATGGGTCCTCATTCATCCAGTGGGTCAACATTCATTGCCCCAATAGCCATAACGGCTAAGACAAATGGAATGGCTCCCAAATGTCACTGTAAATTGACAGTCATCTTAGGAGAGAGAAATCAATCAAATGCCCTGACACTGAACTGGACTTGTGAGCAAGTGTAGGGATGATGGGAGGGAAGAGGGCATGGGTAACAAGGACACAGGCTGCTGAGGTAAGACACAAGGTGGACCCTTTGATTTTTCTGGTGCTTTTATCTCTAAGAAATGCTTCTTGAATCTTCCAGGAGCACCTTCTGCGCAATCATTTCTCAGCTGACGGAGGAAACACAGCCACTATTTGAAACCACTATCAAATCCCGTGCTGTGTCCGAGGACTCTGATGCTAAATTCACGTGCATAGTGACAGGTAACAGTGTCTTCAGTGAATAACCTGGCCCTGCCTCACCTGCTGGAATTGTGCCAGTTAAACTCTGCAGCAAGTGATAACAAGCCCACTGTTGTCAGAATGCCAAGCAGAGGTTCAGCAATTGCATGGTAATTTCAGCTTCAATTTAGGGGAGGTGGGAAACACCTGAGAGTGTAAAGAGGCAAAGGCATAAGCTAACATCTCAAACAAGGCAAATAAGACCAGAAAATGGGATATGCTGGTTACTGCTTGGACCAGCTACATTTTATTGTCCTAATCTCTGCTTCTCTAATCCTGTACTCCATAACTCAGGAATGTGCAATTTTGAAGACTAAGGCTGTTGTGCTGGAACCAACACTGCTGGCTATAGATGGTTAGAGCACAACTGCATTTGTATCAGTGATAAACTTCTGTGTCTGTTGACATCTGAAATAAAAGCTGGTCATTGTCCAGTGAGGTAAAATTTCCCATTGGGCAGGAAGGGGTTAAGTCAAGAAGAGGAGGAGGAGGAGGGAGAGGCCAGAGCCAAAAAAGAGGGCTGGTGCTGAGGCATTATGGCATGACAGCCTGTTGGTGTACAGGCAAGTTATTCATTTGCTGATGAGATTTTTGTTCTTTAAATATAAATATAAAAGTCTCTTCTCTTGGTGTAATTGTTAACAACTCCATGGTCCTTCCTGACCTCACTAATTTTAATTACTCCAAGAGATTGCTCTGTGAGAGCCATGAAACAAATTGGTACGTTTTGCGGGGAGGAGACTCTCTCCAGTGAGCCTCTTAGGCACAAGGTCCAAAGCTTTCCTAAGTAAATCTGGTTTGCTGTTAGAAACAGGCTGGAAATAAGGAAGCACAGTCTCAGTTCTTCTGAGAACTGCCAGCTATGAATTCTTGGCTTTTCTGTTATGTATTCCCTTGTTCTGAAGGCTGACCTTCTGAACTTGCAGGGATACAACTGATGTATTGATTTTATTGGGGCTTAACTTCAGCAGATGCCTTCTTGCTGCGTCTAGAGCCAAAGGGGGCTGTTAGGAGGGGCCTCCAAACCACTTTATTTGGGGAGTCATTAGAAGGGCTCTTCCCAGTTTCAGTTTTCTGAAAGCAAAAGCTTGACATATTGTGCAGTACCATGGAACGTGCCATTCTGCAAGTGTCAGAGGAGAGAAAATGTTTAAGTATGTTGGGAAATCCAGAGTAAAAGTCATGGCTTCTCTCACTGGCTTAAATCTTCTACCAGCTGTACCTTTGAGGTTGGTGGTTCCTTCTAACAAATTCCGTCTCTTCCTGGTGTGTTGCACCAGGCAGAAAACTTGACCTGGTACTGGCTTCATTTCCTACTCAAGTGAAAGAAATTGTCAATGAGTCTCTTTCAGCATGTCATGATAGTTTTATGCTTGGTAAGCTAGGTTGGTCAATGTCTCTATGCACTTGGAAATTTTCATGGAAATGTTTTTAAAATCATCCTTGGACCACGTTTGCCAGACGGGCTTCTCCTGTATGTGGTCCTGTAGACTGCTTTAGGAGCTCGGGATCTGTTTGGGAGAGGGGGGCCGGAGGTGGAAAGCATACTCTGACTGCAGAGTCTAGTTGGTAGTTCAGGTATCTTGTCCTGCCAGGGCATTCAAGAGGGAGGCCTTGCTGGGAGCAAGGAAATGGCAGTGACTTCCCTGGCCAGTGACCAGAATGGAACCAGGTCAGTTCCAGCACTGTGGCTGGAGTCCAGGGACACTGATGGAGGCAAAGGGCAGACAGTCACCTGCTCCTGTTTTGACGGTCAAGCCACAAATATGGATACGTGACCTACAGTAGCATCTTACTGGTTTGTTGGAGTTTTTTTGCTGCTTCTTGACCAATAATGAGAATTACAGGCTAGTCCCATGTCTATGAATACTTGGACTGGGACTTGCTGGACATGTCCTAGGGACACAGAAAGATGTGAGTGTTTGAAGAACCAGTCTCCAGAATGTGGTGAGTGGTGCAGGCAGGGAAAAAGCAGGTCAGGCAGAGGCAGATTCCTGTGTGTGGAGGCACAAACCTTCCTTTCCTCCTGATACCTAGTTCAGCCTGCTACTGGTGTCCCTGCTATGTTTGATTTGATTTTTTTGGGTCAAATCCTGCAGCAGTTATGAGATGTTTTCTTTTTTCAGATAAAATTAGTTTCATCCTTTGTTCTCTAAGAGATGTGAAAAAGGAAGCAAGAACATTTCCATTTACTGTGTAGCTTCACCCTATATCTCTGCACCAAGTGCTTTCCTTGGTGGGTCTGTCTGGACTTCAGGGCCTCAAGGGTCATCACAGCTATTTGCAGTGAGTGGATATTGGGCTTCTCTCTGGGCCCTTCAGCAAGGTGCTGCCATGAGGATTTTTCAGCTTTTTAGTTGCTTCTGTGTAGCATTGTCTGGGAAGGAGAGATGTTAGCTGATGGAATGGGGGGGAGCTGGATGAAGAGCCTTAGGTCTCTTTCTGCTTGTTAGGGAATGAGTCCAGCCAGGACAGGTGATGGCTGGATCCAGCCAAGACCATTGTATGTCAGCACCAGCTGCCTCTGCAGTGTCGTTTCAACCCTCCTTAGCCAGGTTCAACCCCTCTGATCTGGCTTCACAAATCATCATCTCAGGAGCTTGATCCCATCACTGCCTCCATGGTTTTACTACAGAGTACAGAGGTAAAGGGCTCTTCCCATGGCTTGGGGAAGAGAGTTGGGGTATGGTGAGTAGACAAGTCACGTGCTTAGTGGATGCGGTTTTTAATCAGGTTACAGGAGTTCCGCTTGCTGCATTTGTGGTGACCCTCTGAGGGAAGTGTTTGAAGGATGAGACTGAAATGCTTGGATGAAGAATGTCTGGAGACATGCTGGGGCTGTGAGAGGGCTTGGGGATGGGATAGTGACTAAAGGAGCAGAGAGCAGGCTGCTAGGAGATGAGGTTTGGCTTTGGGGCGGAGGACAAGGGAAAGATGGTGAATGAGCACTGCTCACAGTGGCATGGGGAGTTACTGCTCTTAGTATCTGTCCTTCCTATCAGCATTGCTGGAAGGTTCCCTGTCCTTGCATGCTGGAGGGGTTTAAATCCATGAAGCCAGGAAGGGTAACATCTTACCACGAATTGTATTCCCAAGACTGTTGAAACCCCTACTCCATGTAGCTTTGTAGAGCAGAAACTGTGGATATTGTTTAGTGGTTCTAAACTCTTAGCACCTTTCCAAGTTTCAGAAGACTAACTCCCCCTCCTTCCCTGCTCCCAAAAAATAAAAAAAAGAAGAAAGCTACTTGAAACAGAGTTTCTCTGGGTGATTTTGGATAGATATATTCAGAACCATTTTGGATAGATATTTTAAGAACTATTTTGGTTACAGTCACCAAGCTTTGAAGACTTCTCAGATTTTGACAGTTTTCAGAAAAAGAACGTTTGATCTAAACCTGGAAATCTCCATGAAAAAAAAATCCTTGCTCTGAAAAGGCTCCAGGATCCTGTGGTGGCTGGCCATCACGCTGCAGCAACGCTGCTGGAAGACACACATCCTGAAGATGTGGAACGGATGCCTGCCCTCTTCCCAGCAGCGCCCAGCTGCACTCTGTCTGCAGCTGTGGGGCTCTGGCTGGGGGCTGCTGGGGCCCAGCTGCTGGCAAATCCCTCTCAGCACCCGCTGCATGGGGGCTGCAGCAGAGGCAGGTCTTCGAAGGATGAGTACAGATCTATGAGTGGCTGCTCAGGGTGTCTTCTGTTAAGGGGGTGCATCTGGTGCCTGCAGCATGGCAATGCCCATGAATAGAACCTTCAGTTCCACTTCATCCCACTGGACAAGCTACGGATGGTGTGCCTGCAGGGGATGTGCCATGCTGGGAGTGATGCCTGACTCCCTTCCCCCCCCCACCCTGGAGTGGAGAAATTTATTTACTCAGCAGCCCGAAGATGGATATCAGCAGCAGCTCCCCTCCCCATGCCAGAGAGACTCATGTCAGGCATCTGAGACAGGCATCTTTCCATCCCCTGCTTGGCTCTGATTACAGCCCCTTGGAAGGGATGGATGGTATTTGGACAGGTGGCTGGGGCTGCTGTACCTGTGTGGGAGGTAGGAAGCCTTTCAGCATCCACCTGCCTGCAGACTTGCAGCCAGCACTTGCCTGCAGCTCTCCTTGGCTGCAGGCTAGAGCGTGCAGTGTGGGCTGGTCCTGGCACTGGGCTAGCACGGCCACTGCTCCTCACAGGGAGCAGGCAGCCTCAAGGACACGGATGCTGCAGGTCATAGGGAGTTTAGGCTTAGCAGGAGGAAAAGCCCTTCCTTGAGACACTGCATAGCTATGGAAATTGCAGCTCTTTCTGGCAGATGTCAGCTGGGAATGGAAATCAGCTGTGGAGGCCATGGGGCTGGGCGGGGGGACTAGATGGGATGGGGACAGGGCATCACAGGGCTTCTCGGAAACTATCCACTGGAAGTTCCCAGAATGAAGGGCTGTGATTGCTGTTTCTTAGCATGTCAGGAAAATATACCTGCCAGCTCCCTGCAAGGTGGACCATGGGGGCCTTCTGAAGGTCTTGCTTGCAGAACAGCCCTTGGGAAGGGTTGGATTGCTCAGGGCACAGTGTGAGCTTGCGAAGGGAAATAGTTTTGTTCATCATCTCTAGAGCAGGAAGAATTCACCGCAGGCTTGTTCAGCCCAGGCTCCTGCTGCCAATAGTTAATATTTTATGAAAAATGCAAGCAGCAGCATCAATCCCTGATGATTCCATCACTGGAATGCTTTCATGGCTTTTGCCAGTTCCCGGCTCATTTTCTTCAGTCACAAGTACCTGAAGGCTTTGCATGTCTCTAGAAACTGGTTTTTGGGGTCAGAGCAGCAGCAAGGAACGGGTCGTGACAAGAGTGGGGCAGAAGGGGAGGCCAGAGAGCCTTGCAGGAAAGGTTTTGGGAGGAAGTCATGGCTTGGCTTCCCATGGAAGAGGGAAGAACAAGGCACTACAGAACACAGAAAGCCAAAGCTGCTGATGGCAACAGTAGGAGGGGATTGAGGCAGCAAAGCATGTGGGAGATGTACAGAGAGGGAGGATGCTGGGGCAGTGCAGAGTAAGAGACCTTAGAAAGGGTGGAAGAATAGAGGAAAATCCAGTCTGTGAGGTGTCTGGGCTGTGGAGGTGGATGCTTCTCAGAGAACAGGAAAGAAAAGCTGCTGAGACTTACCTTCCCAGCCCTGCCCGGTCCCAGTGGTGGGACTAAATCCCTTGAGGAGCCACCACAAGCAAGGGGTGGGGACAGGGGAGCCAAAGCAGTACAGGAGAAGATTTGGCATATGCTGCTTTTGTGGGCAAAGGTGTGTTAGATTGGCCAAAATATGGGTGAATTCCTGCTGATGAGTCCCTGCTTCTGGACTCTCAGTCCTGCTCTAGAATCTTCATGAGAGCAGGAGTAAGCTGGGCTCAGGCATTGCTATGGGCTGACAACATCTTTGGCTGGTGCAAGGAGGACATTTGAAGTTCTGATCTGTCGCTCTATTAGGAACGGCTGGGAGAGCGACATAGACTCTCTAGGAGTCAGTTAGGAGAATGTCCCTTAGTTTATTACTTCAGCCCTGTTTTATAGACTGATTCCTGGAAAGTACAGAAAGGAAACTCTTATTGGTTAGCAAACCACTACATCACCATTATTGGTCAGTGGGGTACACTACCCCCTTACTTTCTCCTGCAAAGAAAACAAGAGACAGAGAAACAGCACCTGCAAGGATGTTTTCTGTCTTTGAGGATTGTTTTGAATCTTCCTTATGAATTCCTAGGCTACTTTCTCAGGCTGGGCTGAAAAAGCTATGTAGCCTGTAATTTCTACAGGCTCTCTGCTGCCTGCTCCATAGCTAGCATCTACACTGATCAGCCTTGAAACCTGTGGCTTGGGAGGTGGAAAGTATCCAGAGAGCACCTTGTCCCTGCTTTCTCATTACTCCAAAGCCATTGGGTTAGGACACTTTGGATATTCCTGGAAAGCCCTCGTCGGCCCCATGCCTGGGATGCTCATGGGAGCTGACCCTTGCCACATTCTGTGATGCAGTGGGTGATCCTTGGGGTCTGGTGAAGCTGAGGAGCATGCTGGACTCCTTCTTTTGGCCCCACAGAAAGCCTGCTGGGACATTTGCAGCAGATAAGCTCTGAGCAATCGCCTCTAGCCCAGACACGATGTGATCATTGAAAGTTTCATCCCATGCCCTGAGGGTTGGCTTGGCTAGGTAGTGAGCCCTGAGTGAAGTGCAGGAAGCCCTGCTGACTGCCGTCTTCAGCAGTCTTTGCATGAAAACTGCACTTAATCTGAGCTAGAGCTGCTGTCAGTGAGCAGCGAAGGCTGTAGCTAGCACTGCTCCATGTGGGACTCACATGCTGATCCAACACCTCCACTAGTGCTGGGGAACATGGCTGCATTGCCAGCCAGCCAGTCACACACATCATGATGTCATTCTACTGAAAAGGCAGGTGACATCTGTTGTCAAGTGACATTTGTAGGACACTGAGCTGACTGTGATGCAATCAAGGTTGTTTCTGTTCAGTGGAAAGTTTCGGATCAGCTTACAGGCTGTGACACTGTGCAAAATGCTGAGAGCTCCGTGGAGGGGTACATGCCTGTTCTCCAGCCATAGCCTTGGCCTCATCAAAACATCCCTCTTCACATAAAAGTGACGGCATGCTCACCTTCTCCCAGCCAATGTTACAGGAGACGAGCGTGTGATTCACTCCCCTCTGTTCAGGAATGAAGTGCTGGGATTTTTTTTTCAAAAATAGCCCTATTCCTAGGAGTGATAAAAGTTTGAGATAAGCCCATTAAGTTTCCACTCTTTCTGTTGTGCAATTTAGGAATGTGGTGAGCCCAGAATAGCATATGTCTTGGTGTGCCAGATTGTTTTGCTGCTGATACCATGCTGTCTGTGCTCCTGTGTGGAATGTTTCACACTCTGATGTACCTTCCATGTCCTCCCCAGGGTATCCACAGCCAGAGGTGACGTGGTACAAGGATGATGAGGAGATGGATCGCTATTGTGGCTTACCCAAATATGAGATATTCCGTCATGGAAACCACCACACCCTGCAGCTCTACAAGTAAGTAAAGGAGCTGGAGAGTGGGTTTGGTGATGGGAGCTCTGAGTGTGTTCTCTGTGGCTGGATAAGCTGTCAACAATGATGTCCCCCCCACCACTTGGCTGGCCCCTTCTGCTCCCCACCGTGAGTTCACAGCTGGCCTTTCCCCTCCAGCTGTGGCTCCCCAGTCACACCAGTATGAGATCCATTACTGTATCCAGGGATAGCTGCCATGCTGGAAGCAAGAGGAAGGGCAGAAGTCATCCCTCTCTCTGGAGCCTTCCAGTGCTGAGCATTAGGGCTGACAAAGGTAAGCAAGGGGAAAGCACTATCTGCCTCCAAGATGATCCAGGAAATCAGGTTTCTGGAGCGCCAGGCACACTTCATCCGTAGCAGGCATAGACCTGTCACACCTTGAGTCCTGCATTTGGGATGTTGAACAAGTGTGGCACTGACTGAAAATGCAGAATATCAGTGTTGCTGATAGTCCTGCCATCCTTGTGCTTCTAGCCTGAGCTTTTCTGCTCCCCCAGCTGTGCTCCCAGTGTCCATCAGAGACTGGCTCACCTCTTCCAGGAACAGGGATCTCTGTGGGTCAGGTGTCCTCAAGGGGTGGCAGTAGGGATGCAGGCAGGTGCTTTGCTGGTGCCTGTGACATGGAGTGGGAAGACTTCGGTAACACAGCAGGGTAGAGGAAGTACAGGAGTGTCTTGTGGGCTATGTAGAGCTGAGAGGAAAAGATTCTGCAGAGACCAAGAACAGTTGGGAAGCCTGGTGCTGCCTGTTCCTCCTCCGTCACAGCCCTCATACCAGAGTTACAGCCCAGGGTGGAGCTAGAACAAATTTATCATCAAACTTGCTTGTCTGTTAGTGCAGAGTGCAGGCAGAGTCAGGGAGGGAGGCCAGCCCAAGGCCTCCAGATATTCTGTGGGCACCTCATGGGCCACATCTTCTGGACTGTGTGGAGCAAGAAGTAGGAGAGCATGAGTCCAGGAGGCATCCTGAGGAGGATGGGTAGGTCTCACACACAGCTTTTGATTTCCAGGTGCCGAGAAGAAGATGCAGGCATTTACCAGGCCTCAGCTAGAAATAACAAAGGCATCGTGTCCTGCTCCGGTGTGCTGGAAGTGGGAACCATGACAGAGTTCAAAATCCATCAGAAGTGGTTTGACAAAATCAAGAGAAAAGCTGAAGAAAAGATGCAAGAAATAGAACAGGACAAGAAACGAGGAAAAGAAAATGTGGAAGTGGAGAAATTGCAAGGAATGAGCCCTGAACGGCTCCAGAGGAAGCGAAGGCTGGCTAGAGATCAGAATCTCCGGACAGGAGACTCTTCATGGGAGAAGGAAGACGCAGCAAAAGTGCACGTCGCAGATTCACAGTCCAGGTTACCCAAGGATATTGCTGAGACAAAGGAGCAGCCACTCAGTGCAGTGCCAGGCTTCCCAAACCAACTGGTGACACCTCTGAAAGCAGAGGTGACCACCAATGGAGATGCCACTTTGGAAAGTGGGGAGGAGAATGGGAACAGCTTTCTCACGTATATCTATGAGACAGTGGAGGACTTGGCGATTAAGCCAGGGGTGAAAGACTCTGCGGCTAAAAAGAAAAAGAAGGTAGAGGCTCCTTCAGCAGCATCACAGGAAGTTTCTAAGCAAGAAGAAAGTGAGAGAGACAGGCCCAATCCATCTTCAAATCCCAGGTTTGCTCCTCCTGTCCCCTTACGCAGAAATGCACGTTTGAGGGCAGCAAGTGATCAAGAAGCGGAAACCAGTCCAAAACTCAAAGAGCCTGGGAAAGATGTGAAACAGGACATTAAACCTAATGATGACGTGCACTTCTCTTTAAAGGACATGTATTTTAATAAGCAAGTGAAGCCAGCGGCAGGGAAGGAGGAGGTGGGAGCCAAGGATGAGGCCAGGAGTGAGGCTGCCCTGCAGCCTGTGACAGTCAGCAGACAGACAGAGGATGCTCCATTGGCCTCTGAGGTGCTGGAGGCAGGACCTGTGCTGTCCGAGGGCCAGAGAGGCCAGCAGCAAGAACAGAAGTTGGAGGGAAACAAAGAGGTAACTAGGAGAGACAACAGCCAACACAGGGGTGGCAACAAGAAAGTATCTGTGCTGCACATTTGTGTTGTGGCACTGGGCCTGGGAGGCTGCGTGTACACCATGGGATCTGCTGCCCAGGTTCCGCAGGTCTCCACTGGTGAAAGCACACACAGAAGGGCTTTTTGGATTTTGTGAGCCCAGTCAGCAGAGCTTCCACCCTATCTCCAAGCAAATGTCAGCTGAGGTGGTGAGAGATGTAAGTCAGGGCCATTTGAGCAGCTGGTCTCGGTGGCCTGGGGCTCTCCAGTTTAATTGGCAGGCTGACCTCATGCGAAATGTTTTCAATTGGCAGGGAGCACTGAATGGGTGGGTATTTATAGCTGGGAGAGGGTGCCTTGTGATGGCATCTGTTCAGTTTAACAAGGGTGTTTTAGTTAATGAGCCCCCCATGCACATGAGATACCATGTGAGCTGCACCCTGAGGGCCTTGAGTTTTGTTTAGTTCAACATGTATACAGTAGATCTGGGCTATTTTTTTTGGCCCATCCCTGTTGGAAAATCTTTGTTGGGAGATTCACTGTGGTGGTGATGAAGTGCCAGGGCACAGCACCTGCTTCTGACCCTCTTTTAGTCAACTGCTATTTTTGTCACCTAACCTGAAGTATTTGCCATGAAAATATTAGACTGGGTGCTACCAGACTTATTTTTCCCCCATTTTTCTTCAATGACCCCTTCTGTCATAAAAGGTTCTCTGAGTCCAGTTTGCAGGTGCTATCAGGATTTGGAGTTTGGGCTGTGGTAAGTACATGCTTTCAGAGCAGACAAGGCTCCAGGTGCAGCACCTCTCGCTTGGTAGGTAATGCACATATTTCAGAACGTGGAAAAACCCACAATACATAAGGGACTGATGGGTGCCCCAGTCGAAAAAAAAATCCTTTCTTCCTCTCTTAAATTTCTTTAGTCATTGGTGGGTACAGCTTTGCTGGTAAGAAATTGCTGTGTTATGCAGAGCACACCTGGTTTCTGGCCTTGCTCCTTCTGATCCAGTGCTGTGAACTTGTCTTCAACCTGACCCACCAGTACCACATACTGCTGCAGAAATTATTGCTGTTCAGGCCAGCCCATGGCAATGCCATTTGTTTCTCCCTGCTCTGCTTATTTTAACACCTCTCTTAAAGAGGATGGAAAAATGCTGTTGTGCAGCAGCCAGGCTTGGGTTGTTATCCCTGAGACTTTGACATGTATCAAGGTTTTTTTCTCTTTAAAAGCCCCACTCACAGAGGGAAACCTATGACTTGTCAGCTGGTATGCCTTTGAGGAGACAAAAGGGAATGCTTCTGATTTGAATTTGAATGTGCTGCTGAGGAAAATCCTTAAGCTTTTGTGAGAGCAAATAAGCTGATTTAAAGGTATTTAAGGCTGATTCCAGGCATGTTTCAGAATATTTTCAGCCCCCAGGACAGGGGTTACTTGTCTTTTTCTTTCTTATTCTTTCTCTTAAACAAGAAAAGTCATGAGTGTTTTCCTCATGAGTGTTTTCCTAGCTTTGGGACGGAGCTGGGCCTTATGCTCATGACTTATCTTCTGAACTGGATTTATCTGTAACAAAATGCCAGACTGTAACCAGGCTCTGAACATCCTCCACTACAAGAGCAGAGAAGAAACTAGATTTGCATGGTAATCACTCTGGCCTAAATTTTAAACTGATAATTTGATTATATTGTATTTTATGGGTAGGAACAGCCTCTAATGGTTCTTCCACCACCCCAGGCCTTCAATACTCCTGTTGCCCTAACAATTAGAGAAGGACTGTGGACAAGGGCATGGAGTAACAGGACAAGAAGGAATGGCTTTCCATTGTTAGAGGGCAGGGTCAGATGGGATGAAATTGGGAAGAAATTCTTGGCTGAGAGGGTGGTGAGGCCCTGGTACAGGTTGCCCAGAGAAGCTGTGGCTGCCCCATTCCAGGAAGTGTTGCAGGCCAGGTTGGACAGGTCTTGGAGCAACCTGAAATAGTGGAAGGTGTTCTTGCCCATGGCAGGGATTGGAATGAGACAGGCTTTAAGGTCTCATCCAACACAAACCATTCTATGATTCCTTTATTTGCTTGGGAAGGGGCTTGCTGAGAGAATGGTGCTATCTTTCTTCTTTTCCTCAAGCTACCAAATGAAGCAAAAGCAGCACAAAATAGAGGTCTGAGTGCCACAACCTTCCCTTCCCATGGTGTTCGTTTTGGGGGGCTTAACACTCACGTCAGGGACCTCAGGAGAAAATCCTTAGTAGCAGATCCTCCAGGGTGGAAGGGGGACCCGTTGAGTGCCTGCCCTGTCCCTGTGCCATTGTGCTGGTGATGCTCACAGAGCATCAGCCAGGCAGAGCGTGTAGCACGGCATTGCTGCGTCCCCTACAAAATTGCTCCTTGGCTGGAGGATTTTGGCATCTCTCCTTGGGATGAAGCTTGGCCATCACAGCAGGCAGCTTGCTGACACGTTCACTGGGTGCAGCTGCAGTCAGAAACATTTGAGCTTCCCGAACGTCAGAGAAACAGAATGGTTGAATAGTGCTGATAGCGTCAGGGTGTACAGTTTCGCTGTAAATCATTTGGGCAGCCTCATCCTGATAGTCTGTGACATGCCAGCTGCCCCATCTCACAGTGGAGATAGGGGAGCACTCAGTCTTTAAAAACATCAAGGGAATTATGCAAGGTGTCAGCAGTGGCTGGTGAAAATGGGAAAGTTTCACTCTTTGGGAAGGCGCTGAGTCAGAGGAGGTTGGATTAAGAGCCCTTGAAGGATTTAGAAAGGTGGATCTCTTGCCTCTGTGCACAGCAAGGGTGTTGAAAGGCAGAAGGGCTGAAGCTGATTAAAAGAAGAAACATTTTGTACAGCCTGACAGGTGGGACCTACTACTGTGGGATGATGGTGAAACCAGAAGACCTGGATGACAGAGTAACACTGGTATCAGGGTAATTCCCATGATTCAAGAAGAAGTTGGGCAGTGCCATATGATACAGATGGACCACAAGTACGACTGCTCAGACCCAGACAGTAATGTGATGCTAATTTCCCTTTTTTTTTTTTTTTTTTTTTTTTTTTTTTTTTTAAATTAGGGTGCAGCAAGAGTTGGACAGTCTCTTGGTGACCTAAAACATCCGGTGTGTAGTCCAACCAAAGAAACCAGTCAGCAAGACAGTAAGCTAGAAGAGGTCAGGAAAGAGGTGCCTGTTTGCCAGGAAACCAGGGGGGCTGTGAAAAGGATAAATCCTCGGTTTAGGCCTCAGGAGCCACCAAAGCCACCAGCACCTTCTCCAGACCATGTACAGTCTGGAAAGGAGCACCCAACCCCCAGGAAACAGGCAGAAAGACATTCCCGTGCTCTTGAGGACAGAGAGACTCAGCAAGGACTGCTAAATCAAGAGAACAAAAGCCAAGGTGAGGAAGAGTCATTGCTAAAAAAATTGACTCCTCCAGAAGCTGGAGAAGACACTCCTCTTGAACAAATTCCATGTCAGACAGTCAAGGATGGGAAGAGGAAAGAGGCAGGGGCAGAGCTGTCTGGGAGCCATCCTGGTGTGAGGACAGGAGGGAGCAATGCAGCAGAGACATGTCCTGGGGCTGTGCACAGGCAGGCAGGAGGGACACCTTTGGGCCATCAGAACACCGAAATGACAGCTCCTGCTGCAGTTCCTCTTTCCAAGGAAGAGCTGCTTCCTGCTCCTGCAGTGAGGCCATCAGTGGCTCAGGAGGCAGTGCTGGCAGCTACTGGAAGCCCAGGAATAGAGGCTACTGCAGGAGAGGTCCTGTCTGGAGCCCAGCTGCTGCCTCCTGCGAGTGGAGAAACAGAAATCACAGCGACAGATGGATCAGCCCCACAAGAGGTGTTTTCAGCCGTCACATTAGAGGAGGAAAATGCCAAGCCAGTGCCCATGGGACCTCAGGGGAAGGAGGGAGGACTCCTGACAGCCACAGCTCCATGCCAGGAACCAGTAGCATCTTCAGGGACTTGGGAAGGAGCCTCTGAGGTTCAGCCACAGGCACTGCTGGTCCTTCCCGGCTCAGAGAGATCTCAGGAGATGTCTTTGGAGGAAAAAATGCAGCACAAAAACCTGGTTTCTTCCTTAAAGAACTACCTGCTGCTACTTCTAAAAATGTCAGATAACAGTAAGGATGCCACAAAAGGGGACACTGACTCTGGGGACAAGGAGCAGACAAATGCAGGGGAAGGCATGATCCCAGAAATAGGCATTGCTGGCCTTAGCCCTCGCACCTCAAGGAAAGTTTTGGAAAAAGTGCAAAACAACCAGCTCTTCCAGACAGCAGAGAACTTGCCTCTGACCCCCAGGACATCCAGACGGATCACAGGAATGATTAATGAGGAGTTCGTTACCAGCAAGGAGATGCTGGCTTGCAGGCCTGTACCACCGAAGAGACGCACCTGGGGGACTCCTGAGGCCGAGGGGCCACCCCCACTCTCAGTGCCTTCCATCGTGGTGGGCAGCATGCCCACAGCAGGAGTGGCTCCTCACCTTTCTGATTTGCCTCCAGTGAGCTCTGAAGAGAGCCCTGCTGACCCTCTGGCAGTGCTACCTTGTGCCACACCAGAAGAGCTTGCTTTGGGGGCCCGGCGCAAAATATACCTGCCAAAACCAAAACAGGTGGGGGTGGAAGAGGAGGCAACCCCAGAGAGCCTGGGGCATACAAGAAGCCCGACTGTTTCACCACGGCAGTCCAGAAAGAATGCGTCCCTGTTGCATTCTCCTCCCCTGGCTCCATCCTCTCCCTCAGAGCAGTGCTCTCCAACCCTCATGAGGAAGATGGCCACGTTGGAGGTGCCTAAACTGTACAAGGAGCCTGCAGGTGACACCAGCGGTGATGAAGAGGTCCCTGGATATACTAAGCCAGAAGCACAGCCATCAGAGTCCCAGAAAACAAATAACCCATTTAAAGGTGAGGGAAGAGAGGATCCCCATGAAGCACATCCCCATGTTGCCTACAAAGGGACCCAGTGATAGTCAGCTGGGGCCACATGGGTTTTGTGCATTTGTTTTTAATCAGCATTTCAGTCAGGGTTTTCAGCATCAGCCTTTGGCTGTGTGAAAGCTAAAGGTCTCCCCCAAGACTTCTATCCCAGTGCAGGGAGGGATGAGGAATGCAAGAGGCAGCAGCTCTTACACTGGCTGTGTCCACAGCCTGGGCTTTCCCAGCCCCAGGGATCATAGAATCCTCTTGGTTTTGGTCTCTGTGTTCTGGTCTTCATCAGGGCTGATGCTGGTTGGGGATCCTGAGTTACCTGGTCGAGTGGAAAGTGTTCCTCCTATGGCAAGAGGGTTGGAATGAGATGGTCTTTAAAGTCCCTTTGAACGCAAACTGTGATTGTATGATTCAGTGGGCTTCACAGGGTGCACATTCTTCTTCCACATCTGATTCCTCATGGCATCAAATTTAAAAAGGCATCCTGGAGTTGAAGGAACCAGGTGATACTCTCACAGGAATCAGCATTCTTGAAAAGTAAGGGTAACCATGATAAATCCCTGCTTTAGCAGATGAATGTTTCCTCCAGTATTCCATAGTGTTTTTCTGCCTTTCCTCCGGCCAAGCCTCACTGGGTTTTGCAGTGCTGCGCTGTTGAATAAATTTGTACCATTTGCATGCCGTCTATTTATCCCAGTGGAGCTCTGAGACCTTCCCTGGGAAGGCAATGTGACAGGTGCTGTACGTGTGATACCCAAAGCCTTGAGCAGCGGCATGGGCATAGGCTGGCCTGTCCTGTGTCCAGCACTCTGTGTCTCACCACCTATCTCTGTGCACCCTGTCCTTTAGCTCCACAGGTGGTCCGTAAGATCAGGGCAGAACAATTTTCTGATGCATCAGGAAACCTGAAACTGTGGTGCCAGTTCTTCAATATATTGAGCGATTCTAAGCTGACGTGGTACAAGGACGAGATCCCCGTTGCTGAAGCCCAAAGGAGGTAACCTGTCGGCTCCATGGCAATGCAGTCCTTGTTGTCACCTGTCACATCCTGCTCCTTGCCTTGACTGGGGTGAAGGTTCCCCTCTTGCTAAGGCAGCATGGGAAGTTCATGGCACAGTACATTGAGAACTTCATCATATCAGTGCCCACGGAGGGCAAGATTGCCCAGATGAGGAATTGCTGCCAAATTTATCTTATTGATGCTCCATCTGGAGTGTCTGCTTTGGGTACCCAAACCTTGGGGAGGGTAGAGAAGGTGTTATGCCCATCACAGAAATCAAGAGCTGGATGTGAGCTATGAAACTGGCACCCCAAAGGATCCATGTGAGGGTGGCAGCCTGCTAGCAGTGCTGGAAAGGTCTTCTGTGCAACAACCACTGGGAAAAAGCAGCTCTGGCTGTGCCCTGTCTACCCCTTGGCACTGCCCTGGTGCAGGGAGAGCATATTCAGACAGCTGGGTGGCTGGTTGTATCCTTTGGGTCTACTGTGGAGAGCAACTTGTTCTCAAGCCCAGAGGATTTGTGCAGGAACATAATCCACATCAGTTAGGATTTGCCTGATGCCATTGGTGCCCCCTGAGCTCCCTTTATAATGAGTCAACAGTAAATTAGGTGATTCTGGGGCAAAAATTGTCTCCTGGGGCAGATGGGCAGGAGTGGCCATTGCCTTCCAGCAGACCAGAACAAAGCCTGCTCAGCCAGTGGTCTCAGGATGAGGATCCCACCTCTTCCCTCTATGAAGCCCTGACCCAGCCTCATGCAGGGGCAAGTACCTTTATCAGTCTGTAGCCCAATCCTGGCCAGGTTTTGCAGGGCTTGCCTGGAGGATAGGCATCTCTGTTAGGACAAACCACAGGGCAGATTCCTGGTGCCATGACATGGCTGGGCTGCCCTTAGGATGGCTTAGTTCGTAGCCTTTTTCCATTCCCCCAAGGGCAGTGGCTGTCACAGGGCTCCTATGTGGCCCCCACCACCACATGAGAATGTGGCCATGCTCTGTTTTTTTTTCCAGTGCTGGTGATGAGGGCCAGGCAGCTTTGGCTGTTGTGCAAGCTTCCCAGAAGGATTGCGGAGTCTATCGGTGTGTGATCAGCAACGAGTATGGCACCAATTCCACAGATTTCCTGCTCAGCCCAGAAGGTGAGAAGCCCTCAGCAGCCTCTCACAGCTTTCTGGGTGTGCCATGGGGTGGTGTGGCCAACTGCGGAGAGAGCTTGGTGCCAGGCTGCAGCATTGGCACATTCTGTAACAGCAGCTCTGTGAGGTGTGTGGACTCTGCGTGCCAACTGATTCCCACCATTCTATCTGCCATCCCTAGTTGTGCAAGTGCACAGGGCAAGGTGGGATCCTGGCAGGATAGGATCCTGGCAGCACCTTGACACCTCTTTGGTTTCTGTCTCCTCTAGTGTTGTCAGGATTTGTCCTGCGGGAAGAGATCGAAGGTAAGGGCCACGTGATGAGCTGTGATCTGCCCCTTGCTGAGTGGGGCAGGCAGCTCTGGGGCAGAAGCAGGACGTGCCCATGTTGTCTCTGCCTCACCAGCTCTTCCCCCCACCAGCTGGAGAGGAGATCGAGATGACACCCATGGTGTTTGCCAAGGGCTTGGCTGATGCAGGCTATTGGGGGGATAAGCTCTTCGGGCGTGTGGTGAGCGAGGACATGGAAGTGGGTGCTGGTTTCCTGCGCAAAGCCTGCCGTGCCAGAGCCATTTACGGCCTGGAGCCTGTCTTTGAGTCCGGCCACACCTGTGTCATCAAAGTGCGCAATTTCATCGTCTTTGGGACCAAGAATGAGAACAGCCTTATCGAGAAGAACTATGATATCACCATCCAGGTGGGCATTGTTGTGGGCCACCATCCACCTTTCTCCCTCCCACCTTCCCCACCTGTGTGTGAGTTGGTCCCCAGACAGCCCCCAGCTCTGTGCCCACTTTTGCTATTTCCTTCCACTTTTGGAATGCTCTGGAGTGGTCTAGCTTGGGGGCTGGACGTGTCCTAGCCATTCTTGGCTTCAGCACTTCGGTCTGAGCAACATGGAGCTGCTCAGGACTTTCCCACCACCCTTTGATGACCAGGACAGGGGAACAATTGGCAGTGGTCCCAGGGAGGCATTGGTGCAAGATGGGACAGGTTCTTGACTCTTCCTTTTGCACTTCCAGGAATGTAAAGTCCAAAACTCCAGCCGTGAGTACTGCAAGATCTTTGCTGCTGAGGCACGAGCCGTCCCGGATTTTGGAGCAGTGCCTGAGTAAGTGATGCGCTGCAGCTCCACTGGCTTGATGCCCTGGCAGAGCATTGCAGGGGACCTGTGGGTGATGGGGCATCCCAAAGGCAGTGCACTCTACTCCCACAAATGGAAGGGATATTGGGAGGAAGGCAAAAGCCAGGGTTGCAGACCATGGTGTGAATCTCCACTTGCAGAAGAGGGAGAGCTCACCACATTGACTTTGTGAACTCCCATGCAGGATAATTCCTCTGTACCTGATCTATCGTCCGGCCAACAACATCCCTTATGCCACAGTGGAGGAGGACCTCGGCAGGCCCTGCGAGCAGTACTGTGTCACTGAGAAGGATGGAACTTTGGTGGCACGAGGCACCTCAGAGATTGTGCTCAAATGCTGCACATTCCAGCATTGGGTTTACCAGTGGACAAATGGAAACATCCTTGTGACTGACATGGAAGGTAAAGGGATCTCCTGTGTGGTGCCCATGGCCTGTTGCCACCCTCCAGCCTGGGAAAGGAAGAAAAGCCCCAGGCTTGTCCTCCTGCCTCTTTCTTTCCCCCATGCCATCTACCCAGGGCAATGACCTGCCCTTGGTGCTGGTGGCTGTCCTTCTCTGGTTGTCCTCTTAAATTACAGGAGTGGGCTGGAAGTTGACCAATGTGCGGATCGCTACCAACCTGAAAGGGTGAGTGATTTCCAGCTCTGGAGCAGGGTGGCCCTGGCTGTCCCCAGCTCTGCCACTTACCTGACAAGGGCAATGGTGATAACCGTGGTCAGGCTCCATCCTTGCCTCCCTGCTCTGCTGGAACATCTAGCGCAAAGCAGGAGCTGAGGATAACTCTGTTGGCAGGTACCAGGGGCTGAAGGAGAGCTGCTTCCCCTCGCTGCTGGAGCAGTTCCCGGCTGCTCACAAGTGCAATCATTACTGCAGCATCCTGGGCCTGAAGATGCTGGAGCCAGCCAAGCCCAAGGGCTCCAAGAGTCCCTGCCTGGGCAGGAAGTCTGCCCAGTCCAGCCCCCAGCTCCAGAAGAAGGTGCTGACAAGTCCTCAGGGCACCCGCAAGGCTTCTGTGAGCCCCAAGAGTACCCGGAGAGCTGCAGAAACAGGGGAGGCCCCAACAGCCTGCAAACCCAGGTCAGGAGAGAGCAACAGAGCTGGCTGCCCACAGTAGTCAGAGCTGCTCCAGCTGAGATTCTTGCTCTGGCCCCCAAGCTGGGCCCAGCACGTGACCAGTGCAGGATGGGGAGAGCCTGGCAGTGGCCTTCTCAGTGGGGCTCCTGTCTGGCCTGCAGCGCTTGCATTGTGTGGTGTGTGCTAAATGTGAGTGGCTGGGCCAGGGCCGTGGGGGCTCTGAGCCCCAGGCCACCTCCCCAGTACCTCTACAGGAGTTGCTGCTGGAGCCTGTGGGGCCCTGTGCCTCTCCACGCTCGGACTCGCTTTCCTCTCTCAACTTTCCATAGGCCTTCCTTAAGGCAGAGGCAGAGCTTCTCCCTTGGGCTTTGCAGGCACCATGTCCTTGCTTGGCTCCCCAGCAAACTAGGAGTCTTGGACACTCTCCTGGCTCTCAGCACCTCATGTCCCTCTGTGTCTCCATAAAGTGATCAGGCCAAGCCTTGCCAGCGCTGTCAAGGATGAGAACCCCACCAGTGCCCAGGCAGTCCCCTGTGCCCTGGCAAACCCTTTTTCCTGCAGAGGGTTCTAGCAGTCACTTCAGGGCTCCTCTGCTATGGTGTGGGGCTCTGGGGTGTTGGCTGGTTCCAGGGTGGGGTGTTTGCACTGGTACCAGCAACTGCATAGGTAAGGGGTTTTGCATCCCTGCTTCCTGTTTCCTGGGGAAGTCTCCCACCCCGTTGCTGGATGGCTGCTGAGGGCATGCTGCTCTGGAGGGGGCCCAGTGCAGTAAGCTACCTAGATGCTCTACCTCACATGGGATACCTGAAAGCAGGACAAAGGGGTGACTATCAGGCTCTGTCTAGGCACATGGGGGTGTCTGGCCCACAGGACTCCCTGCTCCTTGCCCCCATGCCGTACATAGACCCTGTATGCCCTACCCCACAGCACGATCTGGTGCTCAGCATCACCCCTGCTTGGCACGTGCTGGGCTCCAGCAACAGTTGGCAGTACCCACTCCAAATCCTGCTTACCCTGGCTCAAGGCAGTGATGGACAGGCACAGGAGCCATCTGCTCCATCACCCTGCAGAGCATCCCCTTCCTCAGGGCGTTGCAAGAGGGTGCTGAGTGCCAGTGACACCACCCTGCCTGCAGGGTGGGGTCCCAAGCAGTGGCTCAGTGCAGCCTGATGGAGAGGAGAGGCCAGGCTGGGAGCCTGGCATGCTCTGGGTTCCTGATCCTTTGTCACTGGGTAACTGTAAAATTTCGATGTACTAACATGGCTGCGTTGGCGACTGGGTGCTCTCGAGTGCAATAAAGAGAGAAGGACTGGCCTGTTCCCTGGCACTGTGGTCCATCTGGGAGAGGTGCACCCAAGCACAGTGGGATTCTTTGGTGTCGTGTTTGGGGGAAGGAAACATCTTCAAGCACTGGCTTTACCCCAGACATGTCCCATGGGAGAAAAGAGGGGGGCTGGGGCCAGAGCCTGAGGCTGGCAGCAGCCAGGGGCTCAGCTTGCAAGGTCTGCAGTGGGCATGGGGCTGGGCAGCCCCAGCAAAGGACTTCTTGCTGTGTGGGACAGCCATAGTCAGGGGTCTGAGGGCAAGTATACAAGGGTTGCCATCATTTATTTGGGAGCTGCTCCCTTGTGTCCCCTGGGCCAGCAGCTAAGGCTGCAGGTTGCAAGGTGCACACAGCTGTTCGTCAGCACAGGAGTGGAAACCAAATGCTCAGGTTTCTCTTGGGGTTTTTTCTACCTCTGGGGATAGGCCTTGTCGTTCCCCCAGTTCTAGATTGTCCCTGCACAGGACGTGTGGTTGTAGTACACACAGCACTCTCCGAGCCAGAGCACGCTCTCTGCCTGCTCAGCCCAGGATCCCGTGAAGGAGAGTGTCCCATTCAGGAGCACTGAGCTGGAAGGGGAGACACAGGGTCAGGATGAGCTGCAGCCCCACCACCTGGGTCCTTGGGCAGGGCTAGATGGCTCCAGGGCCCTTCACACCCACCTGGCAAAGAGCTGCTTACAGCAGGTGTACATAGTGTAGGTGGTCGAGCTGAAGTTGGTGGTGCTGAAGAACATTGTGCAGTCACCCACCTGTGTTGGCACATGGAGGAGACCTGGGGGACAAGGTCTCCTATTGGGACTTTAAAGGGACCGTGGATCCAAATTCCATACCCCAAGAAAACTGTGAGTCCTGTACCCTATGCCTGCTCACAAGTCCCACACCCTGACTCTACTTGCTTGCAAGTCCTGTAGCTGGGACTGTGCAGGTCCCATGAGCCATCCCACCTCACCCCACTCAAGACTTCAAGGAGCTCCTTGCAGTACTCCAAAAGTTACCCTTGAAATGATCCAGCCCAGAGGTGGATGAAGGGCCCCAGGAGCGCTGTTGGGGTTGGGATGCCCTTGGCAGAGCCATGAGAGGAGATCAGGGTTTGAAGGCTCTGGCAGAGCCACAGGCCAGCCACCTCCATCCCTGAATGCTGCATTTCACACTTCAGCCCTGTGCCTGCCCCTCCCTGGGTCTGTCTGGTGCTGCTGGCAGTGGACAGAGACCTACCTGCCAGGCAGGCATTGAGCATGGAAACGCAGATGCCAGTGAGCAGGGCCCGTAGCACCACGGAGGCAAAGTCACCCTTGCGCTGGGGCACCATGGAAGCTGTGGGGGAAAAACAGACACTGTGCTGAGTCAGGTCCTTGCTCTGGATCTGCACAGGATGGGGGACAGATAGGGACATGTCCTCAGTCCTGAGCTGGCTCTGCCACATTGTGCCCTGCCCACCCCAACTCCTGCTTTCTGGAGGATGTGGTGATCCCAGCCAGCACCCAGTGTGCTGTCTGCCCATCCTGGCAGAGCACTGTGCCCACCCTGCTGTGATCCTGTAGGTGATCCACCAGAGCCCTGAGCACTCCCAGCACTGGAGTCTCTCTGCTCTTTCCCCTGTGGCTGGCTGATACCTAGGCTTGAGGGGACATGCATGTGCTCTTGCCCACGGGTGCAGTGCAAAATCATCCTGGTCACCTCATGCAAATCTTGTTTCTTATATGGCAGACACCAAACATGGAGCTTTGAGGGCAGCAAATTCCTCCTGTCTCAGCTGAGCTCTTGCTCCCTGGCCCACGACCCCACTCCCTGAGCACCCAGGCACTCAGGACACAGGTCACACTTACTCAGGCCTCCCAGAGTGATGCCAATGGAGCTGAGGTTGGCGAATCCACAGAGGGCAAAGGTGGTGATGCTCTCAGCTCGTTCCTGGAGGGCACAGCAGCAGGGGATGGTCACCTCTGCCCAGGAACAGCCCCAGAGCACCCAGAGCTGAGCACCACATTGGAGCTCCCAAACAGACATGACAGAGATAAGTTCCCCACCCCGACCCCTTCTCCATCAGCTATTTTTGGGAGCAAGGATGAAAGCTCTCCCTGGAAGAGACTGGGCTGGGGGCTCAAGGGCCCTGTAGCACCCAGGAGCATCTGTCCTACCAAGGAGCAGGATAAATGGGAAAGGGCTTCATTGACTCCTTTATCCCACACCCAGCCATTAGCAAACCAAGTCTTGCTGGACATAGGTGCCCTCCCACTCCCAGCACCATCATCCTGCTTCAATGATCTTAGAGGACTTTTCCAAACTAAATGGTTCTATGATTCTCTGCCTGCCCACCACCCTAGCCTAGCTAGGTCCCATGCCCCATTCCAGCTGGCTCTGTCCCTGCCCTGTGCCTGGCAGGGCAGTAGGTGCCCCTCACAGATATCCACTGCTTCCGGTTCCCATCCCACTCCTCCAGGCCCATCAGACGGTTCTTCTTGTATTTGGCCAGCTGCTGGTACGCCACAAACTCATTCAGGAAGATCTTGATCCCCAGGAGTTCAGCCACCAGCGGTGAGTCTTCCCAGTCTGCCCCCATGAGAAAGGCCACAGGCATGAGGACATAGGAGCAGATCACCTGGGAAAAGCATCCCAGAAGGGAACGACTCAGAGCTGACCTGCACAGCCTCCGGATTGGATGTCTGCTGCCAGCGTTTGCCAAAAACCCAGCAAGGGTCTCAGCAGCCCACTGAGGCAGTGGGAAAAAGTGGGGATGGGTGGGGGATGCAGGATCTGGCAGCTAAAACCATGGGTCTGCTCTTGGGCATACCTGGAAAGTCAGACCCTCAATGTCTACCATCTCCCCGAACCAGCGGAGGGCAGCATTGATGAACTCCAGCACGGCCAAGAAGGCGATGAGGTTGGCTGCGATGTTGGCAACGAGCCCCACGGAGGTGGCAGCCCCATTGCTAGCAGCTTCCAAGATGTTCTGCTCTTCCCTGCATGGAAAAAGACCCCAATGTAGTCATCTGGCTGGGCATCCCCCATGACAGGTCAGCACTCACTCTATGGAGGTGTGGTCACCACAGGCTCTCCCAGCCTCAGGCACCCGCAGTGTCCGCTTGCACCCCAAAGTGCCCCCACAGCCTCTCTGCAACAGAAGGACATGTGCAGCCCCACTCCACTGCCCCTCTCCTCACACTCACCCACTGGAGAGGCGGATGCTTGCTTTGCCCTTGAACTTGGACTCCTCCACTTCAGGGTAGACGAGTTTGGCCATGGCGAGGGCACAGGGTGCAGCCATTACAGAAGCTGCGATCAGTGATGCTGCATCAATCTGCAATGTGCAGACAGAGGCATAGGCACCTCTGTGCAGGGCTGTGCCCCATGGCCTGCCACCCCCGGGCATCCCAGCACGTGCTTGGCATCAGCCAGTGACACGCAGAGCACTTTAGGCTCTCCACTTGCTCAAGGTGGGAAAATTGGCTGGTTTTCCCATCTAAGCAGCCGTGGACGTGGGGCAGCTTGCCTGAATGGAGGCGATTGCTGGAGCTGCAGCGATTGTAGCCTTGGTGATGTTAATCTCTCCTGCTGTTTGACTTAATAATGGTTCTAATTCCTTCCTTGTTCCTTTTTACCAGTATCAGAGCAATAGGTTGAGTAACACTGTTAACTTCTACCTGTTGATGAAGGGCCAAGCTCCCAGCCTCACCCCTCCCCTGGCAACTTCTCATTTCTCTGACCTTCCACCTTTGGTTCCCCATTTAAGGAAACTAATTAATGTTTAAATAGCAGGAGCTCAGGCAAAAGGTTAAGGGGAAGGTTTATTCAGAGCACTGATGAACTGGAGAGGGCATCCCTGGGGGCTTGGTGCCAGAAGTGCCCAGGCAATGCTGGAGGAGCAAGGGATTGTTCCATTGGGAGAAAAGAGGGAGGGGGGGGTGGGTATTGCTGTTTCTATGTAAAAGAGGGTTGGAGGGGAGGCACTGCTCTGTGACATCCAGTGAAAAGGTGAGAATTACAGGCAGTTTCAGTTGGATATAAGGAAAAATTGTTTCCTGTGTCTGAGGTACCTGTGGGTGAAACCAGAGAGGATGGGGGGATCTCCATCCATGGGATGTTCACCACCAACCTGGAAAAGGCCCTGGCCATCCCCTCAGTTGCCATAACCTCAGTTGGCAGGAGGGTGGATCAGAGACCCCTCCACAGGGTCTTTCCAGGCTATATTATCCATGATTCTGTGTGATTTTCCCTGCTTGCTGTGCAGGGACACTTGGTAAGGATCCCATAGCACTGTCTTCTACCTGGCACAGCTCTACAGGCCAGCAAAGGTGGGGCTGGATTGAGGTGTCTTTGGGACAAGGCGAATCTGGACACCCTGCTCTCATCCTGCTTATGAAAGGGGACCATGAGGCACCTGCTGGGGGTCTTCTCTTATCCTCAAGTCCAGGGCGGTTCTCCAACTGCTCATGCACTCACCCCAAAGGATATGTAGGCACCCATCACGCTGCCTGCGATGGTGGAAAAGCCACCGGTCATCACAGCATGGATTTCTGACAGGGTCATGTCTGGGAGGTATGGGCGGATGAGCAGCGGGGCTTCGGTCTGTGGAAGAGAAAATGCTGTCCTTGGGATGAGGCCATACAGGGCCACAGGTCTTATGGGGAGGGAGAGGCCCTTTCTCCAGGGCAGGCTCAACTGCAAGCACTAAGGAGCTGGATCTGCTGCCCAGGACCTTACCTGTCCCACAAAAATGTTTCCTGCCACACTGAGAGTCTCAGTGGGAGTGGTGCCCATTGAGACTTGAAGCAGCCAGGAGATCTGGGGAAAGACAAGGCCACTGTGTTGACAGAGGCTCCTGGCACACTGCCACCATGCCCATGAAGCCCCAGGCACTGTTTGGCCCCTGCGTGCAGGTGATCCTGGGAAGCACCCCCAGACCAGGTGAAAACATCAGCTCTAGGGTTCCGTTTTTACAGCTTTCTGGGATATGCTAGAAAGATGCGGTTTGTGTCTATTCTTTTAAGCAGGACAAATCACCCCAAATTAGTACCAGAACAATTTTCCTGGGACATCTCTCAGCTGACTGTAGCAGACAGAGTTCCCAACAGGTTCTTCTCCTTTCCACTGCCATCCCAGATCTAGGAGCGAGGCCCTACCTTGAGAATAAGCCACTGCATGACACCGAGGTAGTAGAGGATGGACATCACACAGCTGAAGAAAACAATGATGGGCAGGGTCTGCAGGCAAGGCACAGGGTTAAAGGAGAGCTGAGCCACACATCCAGGCCAGCACAGTGTGCTACTGCACAGGCAGCCCACACTACTGGGGTGCCACAACACATGGCCAGGCTGGCAGGAGAGACAGGGACCAGTGCAAATCCTCCTTGGCACTGAGGAAGTCCCCAGGTGTATACACAGCTCAGGGAGATCCATCTCTGAGATGGCTGAGCTCTACCGCAGCAGATCTGGCTGCATTGAGCTCTGTGCTCTCCAGGACCCAGCAAAGAGGCAGACCAGAAGAAAACCTCCCCATGGCCCATTCCTTGGCTGACCTGGAAGGCAAAGACTTCTTGAATGAGTGTGTTCCCAAAGACAAAGCTGGAGCCAGCTGTGGTGTAGCCCAGGAAGTACTGCAAGGGAAGAAGTTACACAGGTAGGACAGAGATCTCCATCAGGTCCTTCCCCAGTATCTCATTCTGCCTAGTGAGGGGCTGTGCCCCCAGTCCCACAGCTCACTTCACTGCACACCAGAGGATGACCCTCTGAGACCTAAGATGGAAATACTGGTAGGCTGTCCCAAAGCCACAGTGCTCTGCTACAGCCGGGAAGGGAGAGCACCACCGAGGGCTCTGGGCTGCTGCAGAAAACCAGGGAAGAGCTGGCTTCCCTCCTGTCCTGAACAAAAGTGTTTGTGAGCATGCAATCCCTGCCATTTCTCCTCCCCATGCCACCCTCTGCTTTTCCTGTTAATCTCAGGGTACAAGCACAGGACGGGATGAGTAGATGCAGTACCTGGATCTGGTCTCCCAGCCATTGGAAAGCTTGGGTGCCGGGAGTTGTTCGGAGGACAAAGAGTCCGAGTAAGAACTCCAAACCAAGGCCCCAGAAAACGGCTCTCCAGGACACCTGGGGACAAAAAGCAGAACAGGAGCTGAAATGTTTTCAGGGCCTGCAGGCTTCCCCCTCTGGTTTCCAGCTGCTTCAACAGCAGGACATGACAAACACCACACACTGCCATGGGGTGAAGATCATGGGGAGACCCATAAAGTGTCACAGAAACAAACAAATGTAGGTTGGTGACAGAGCCAGAAATGAGTTGGTGAGACTCTGGAACTGGCTGGAACACAACGTGCTAGGCTGACCCGGAATACAAACACAAAGACTTTATGAAGATTGGTAGCACAGACCTGCTAGACTGAAACCATCTGTTCAATTACCCTTTGGAGAAGCAGGATGGAGGGACTGCCCAAAGCATTGCAGAAGTTTGGGCTGGAAGCCACCAGGACTTCAATCACTTCTGACCAAGGCTCCCATGGCACCTGAAGCCCAGGTGTGGGTCTGGTGCTGGGTTTCAGGGTCTGACCCGCTATGAGGGACATGGCAGAAAACAGGACAGAGGCAATGCAGGGGAGCCCTGGGTTGGGAAGTGGGAAGGAGAGCAATGGGAAGAAGAGCAGTGAGGTGGCTTTGGGGTCTATCCACCCAAGCAGTTCAGTTCCCCAGGCTGCACCCAGCTCTGCCCAGCTCTGCTGGACTTCTGCTTTCTCCAGAGAAGGGGATGCCAGTGGAAACAAAGTGTTTGTTCTGCAGTGCTGGGTGGCCACCTCCTGCGAGGGAACTGATTGTCAAGTCACACCTGAAACACGTACCGCACCATGGTGCTTGGAGAAGGCAAACAGGAACAGCACCAAAAAGCAGAAGCCGCCTAATGAAATGAGCTGCTCTGGGTTTCTGCCAGTGTCCAAAGCCAGCCACACAATCAGGCCTGCCAGGAGGGCCACCCACAAGAGCCTGCAGAGAAAACCCCAGACTGTCAGCAAGATGGTGTCCCCATAGGGAGAGAAGCACATGAAGGCAGAAGCCGATTGTGATGGAATTGCCACTGTAAGGTCCAGGTATCTGAAGAAACCCATGGCTCAGGCACTAGCGAGGGTTGTGAACAGCCATCATGCTACTGAGGCAGAGCAGCAAGAAGGCTGCAATGGCTTCAAAGCAATGGCTTTTAAGTGGTTCCCAGGCTGGGCCATGCTCACCATTTGTGAAGTGCCAGCATGGCACTAGAGCACATGCCTGATGCCATCAGCATGGGAGGGAACCCAGGTGCTGGCAGGGATCTGGCCCTGCCTTCTCCTGACTCACCATTTCAGCCATGGCCAGGACTTTCGGAAGCACTTCCCAACAGGGCGGAGGAGCAGCAGAACCTTTCCCCCACAGTGCTTCTTGAAGATGTCCCAGCAGATGAAGAAGGCAACCACAGCAGTCATGATCACCAAAGCAAGGGCTCGCTGGAAGCTGAGGTAACAGGCCACAATGAAGTAGCACAGGTAGGCTGGAGAAGGCACATTGGGAGTCAGAAACATCAAGGCTGTAGGATCATGGGTTCATAACTCACCAGGGCCAACCACAAGGTTCATTTCCTCCCAATGTCCTTCCCTGGCCACCCTTAAGGATCCCATCTTTGCATGAGGAGTCCTTAAGAGCACCACCCCAACAGGGAGCAGAAGGGGCACAGTAAACCCTTTGGGCTGGTAGAGAAAGGGCAGGGGGACAGTGAGGTGAAGATAGAATTGGGTAGCAGTAGTGGGGTGATGAGGGGGCAGCAAGGCTGCTGGAGGTGGATGCAACCTCCACACACTTGACAGTGTTCAGTAAGTGTAGTCTGGAGGCACAGCCAGCCAAAGGGGTGACAGAAAGTTCAGTGACAGGAAGTTCTCACCTACTCCAAGGAGCCCCAGGACAACTCTTCTCAAGACCTTGGCATGAGTCTTGCAGAAATGCTTTGCCTTTGATACCGGCTGCAGAGCCTTCCTGGGGAGAGACACGGAGATGGACACAAAAGATCAGCCCAAGCCAAACCACCCCAACTGCAGCCAAGCCACCAGAGCCAAGCCATGACCATGACCTCCAGCAACAGGAGGTGGTGCAGATGGGCCATGGTGAGAAACCCCAGCACGCTCACCATCAGCTGCTATGGGGACAGAGACCTGCTAGTGGCACCCTACAAGGCCACATGGAGCCATCAGACACTGCCCCCCGTGTGTGCTCAATACCACCCTACTCTGCTCCCAAATCAGGTTTGTTTCTGGCAGAGCTCATACATCTGTGCAGATTATCCCACCTGCAGTAGGAAGAGAATCTCCCTTTTCCTTCTCTTCTCTCCTCTTGGCTCTCACTGCATGGAGCACCACCTTCATCATGTCTCTTCTCTCCCTGGAAAACATCATTAACTGGAGCATGAAGGAAAGGGGAAGGGGAAGGGGAAGGGGAAGGGGAAG